AGTGGAAACGTCATCCAATAAGAAGCGCGTATTTGAGAGCTAATCCGACTATTTAACCACAAAATAGTGATTAAACAAGTGATTAAGAGTTTTATACAACTGGCCCCAGCACTCTGTCTCGCGTTAGACAGAATAAAATAATCTGGCATTAGATAGAGTAAAATAGGGAAGTAGGGCACATAAAGTTACAATGAAACTTAATGGGTAACTAAGTTATACACACATGGCCAGATTAACCATTAACCATGCACCAGCACTCTTCCATTCACGAATAAGATTGTCAGGCGTTAGATAGAGAAAACTGACAGTAATTAAGTAGAGTGCAATACAACTTAATTAGTTAAAATTTAAAATGAGTTAATTTTTCTTACGATATATAGCGTGAATAAAAAAACTATACAAAAATATAACACCGATTTGAAATTTCTCTCAATTTCGCGAAACAGCTATTGCTGTATCCAGTTTTTTATATATATAGCTTTTTTAGATACTTGTAATGTAAATAATGAAAAAATTCTCGAAGTCAAAATTCGTAAACTAGGGGAGGGGGGGGGAGGGAGGTATCATTTTTAACAAACTAAAAATGCCTTGCGCACGAGATTTAAAAGCTTTAATCATATTTTCAGCTAATGGGTGAAAAATATTTTGGGTGTTTATTGCTGCACGAAATTTCAGACAATTTGTTTTCGGTTTAAGCCTTTAACTATTCACGCCTAGTTACATTTTTTCCTAAAAAAGCCTTTTGCACGCTTAATTTACATATTTGCAGTAATATGCATGATTTTTTAGGGAAAAAGGAATACGTAAAGGGCTTAAACTAAAGAAAATTGTCTGCAGTTTTGCACAATAATTAAAAACATAACAAATGTCCATCCATTAACTCAACATACGATTAAATCTTTTAAATTTCGTGCGCAAGTCACTTTTAGTTTGTTCGAAAAGACACACCCCTCGCGGATTTACAAATTAAATTTGAATTCGAGAAATTTTTTTCATTATTCTACATTATAAGTTCCCAAAGACGCTATATATATCAAAAACTGTTTTGCGAAATTGAGAGCAATGTCAAATCTGTTCAGTTTTTTTATACACCATGTATATCACGCAAAATGCTTACTGCAACAAGCCTTTTTGATTCCACCGCAATCATGAGTTTCAGTGCAGTCGCTGTAGTTTGCTGGACAGTTAGCCGTGCTATTAACACAAATGCAACCTGGGGAAATGCAGGATATCCTTCCGACGACTAGAAATAAAATGTGACGATAATTTAATGAAAAAAAGATCCTCAAGCGACCTTTTCAGCTGTATGATAATGTTCAATGCAAGATTAGAAATACCATTTTTCAAAAGAAAGCAAGACAAAGCTAAATTATCATTTTTGAATAATGTTTAACACAAAGTAAAAAAGCCGTGAAGTGAACCTGACCAACTGAAGAGAAGGAATACAACGCCCGCATAGGCGGGCATGGGGCGGGGGAACATGAAAATTCGGGAAAATGCTAGGAAAAATGAAGAAAATTCGGGCAAATACATAAAAAAATGTGTTAAATTTTGATCATTCCGTTTCTATATTTGACAAAAATTCGATAAAATTTTCACGTACTCCACCGGAAACTACCAGGCCCGTGCACTTATGGTACAACACAATACCAGTCTGGACAAAAAATCCCAACCTCTGGAAGCGCTTTAGTATAATTTCCCCCAAATCTACGTTTCTCAACCACTTTTTTATTTTCGTATATGTTGAAATATACATAATGTTGAAAGTAAAATGACTTGATGAAAATTGCTCATAAAGGCTTGTCATTCAGTAGCATTTGTCTACCGATTCCTTCTTCATGCATGTTGTACAATGCGTTCTTTGTACTTTAAATACAGTTCAACTACAGTATAACATGCACCTGAGACATGAAGGTTCAGAATATATACATATATGTTCCTGTTTAAGTCTAAGAAATGCAGGGACGCCGGAACGATAATAGGGCAAAGGGGGGCGGACGCACACCAAGGGCACCTTTACTGCAAAACTTTTTGGCGAAAAAAAAAAATTTCGCCCAAAAAAGTTCGGTCAGTGTACCATTTTAGGGGTCAAAAATTTTTTCCGGACATACAAAAATTTTCCGTTAAGTCAAAAAATTTTCCGGATATCTTAAATTTTCGCCATTTCTTCAAAATATTTTCCTAAATTCCAAAAATTTCCCAAAATTTTTATAAATATAAACTATAAATTACCTGAATCTCGTGATCAGTTTTCTACAAAAAGCATCGTTGGAAATGTGATTTATCACGTATTATTTTACAACTAAAAGGGCACTTCTGCCCCCCCTGCCCCCCTAGCAAAAGGCAAGGGGGGCAGCCGCCCCCCTGCCCCCCCCAGTTCCGGCGTCCCTGAAGAAATGTATATGAATTTCCACTTGATAGTTTCCTTCTCTCCTCCGCAGAGGCTTTAGTCGACTATGACTCCATTTTCCGCCTGCCCTCCTTCGCCCAGCGGCTCCGCTCGTGTTCCAAGATCCGCCATGTAAAGTGTTGTGAAATGTATCTCAATGCAAATCGTATTAAATCATAGCCAACAGAAACCTCTGCGGAGGACATTTGTTCATAAAGCTAGTTCTTGTAAAATTAACGCAAATCAATTCCCTTAATCAATCAATTAACGCAAATCAATTCCAACTAACGATCAAATCAATTAACGCAAATCAATTCCAACGAGGCCCCACCATGTTTGGCGCGGATCGGGAAACTTTCGAGTCTCTAGATCGTCTGAAATGGCATTTTTAGAGCTTCTTCTATCTTTTTCCTTAGGCCATATGGTATATGTGAGTCTATATCCGTGACTCATGATGGACTTGGGGTTCCGTCGGAATAAAAGCTATCTCCGCCCTATAAAATATTGGGTTTGGGGCCCACGGCCCCATGCCGGAAGCCCCCTGCTTCCTTCTCCCATGCGGTCATAGCCTGCGTGGCAGGCGATTTTACCACCATGAACCCCACATGCTTTTGAATTTACTATATGAGTAAATTCTTAAACACGTCCGAATTTAACATTATGATAAATTCGCGACACATTTTGAATTTATCGTAATAGTAAATTCGCGGCACCTAACACTAACCCCAACCCTAACCACTAATCCCTAACCACCAACCCTTAACCCCTAACTTTTTCAACTTTTTAAACTTTTTTAACCTTTTTGAAAATCTAACTTTTTTAACTTTTTCTGCTTTTTAAAACTATTTTACTTAAAACTTTTTTAAAAACTATTTTTTTGAAAATCTTGGAAGTCTTAAGCCCCGTGAAAAAAGAAGGGCTCAACTCGAAGTCTGGCGAGACTTCGACACAATCTGGCGAGGGCCTGCGGAATCTGGTAAAAAATAATGGCGTCGGCGTCACGTCAGCAAGTAAATTTATACATAATCTTGAACATATAAACAGGATATAAAAAAGCGGCGTGAAACTTGTAAAGTAAAATGGCGACTCTATACATACATACATACATACAAAACTTTATTTAGACCACGCTAGCCTCAACAGCCGTTGGAAGGCTGGTTTCCATGAGGGGCGTGAAATTACCTATTTACAAAAAGTTAACTATATACATGAAATACAAAATATAACAAAATAAATAAATACAATTGATTTTAGCTGCACGATTATACGCACAAGCAAATTTCAACTCATTCTTTGTTTCAATATCGACTTGAAAGAGTTTAGGGATTCAGCAATTTTTGCCTCATGGGGAAGATTATTCCAATGCAAGGCACCATTATAACTGAAGCACCTCTTGCCGAATTCTTTTTTCGGCATAGGTGGTGCTAAATCAGTATCCGAATTTCTAAGATTGTAACTATTATGTCTTTCATTATTAAAATGAAATGCTTCTTTAAGATTGGGTGCGGTGTGGCCATTCAGAACTTTATAGATGAAAATAGATTTAAGATAATTTCGTCTTTCTTCTAGAGGTTTCCAATTTAGATTATTGAGTAACTCAGATGACCGAATATCGTAGGTTGCCCCAGTAATTACTCTTGCAGCACGATTTTGGTATTTTTGCAACTTATCTTTGAGCCCAATTCCACAATTATCCCACAAAGAGCTGCAATAATCGAAATAAGGCTGTATAATAGCATTATATAGCATTTTGGTTGTCGACAGTGGTACAAAAGGTTTAACACGTCTCATTGCACCAATACCGGCACCAACTTTAGAACAGATTGAATCAATATGTTTATCCCAAGACAACCTTTCGTCCATAGTCACGCCAAGGCATGAATATTTATTAATCCTGGGTACTAGCTTATTATTAATTAAAATGGGATTACCAGATACTTTATTCTTAAGGTTATAGGGAGACCCAATGAACATATGTTTCGATTTACTGGGGTGGATTTGAAGTTTATTGTGTATCATCCATTTGCGTATGTTTTCGAGATCAATATTTACCTTGTCGACAAGGTCGGCGCAGTCATTAGAAGATGCATAAATTTCCGTGTCATCAGCATAGAGTGAAGGAGTTAAGTGACTTAACGAGTCAGGCATATCATTTATGTATAATAAAAATAATAGAGGACCAAGGATGGACCCCTGTGGAACTCCGCATATTATCTTTTTTGGGCTCGATAGTTGTCTGTTTATAAGACATTGTTGAGCCCTGTTATTCAGGTATGATTCGAACCATCTTAGTTGGTTTCCTGTTACTCCGAAAAAATTACGCATTTTATCAATCAGAATTTCATGATTTATGGAGTCGAAGGCTTTTCTAACATCAAGAAAGACTACACAATTTATTTGACCACTATCCATGTTTTTAAGTAAATTATCACACATTTGTATCAACGCAGACAGGGTTGAGTGTTTAGGTCTAAACCCTGATTGGAATTTAGAAAGTAATGAGTTATTAGAAAGATAGCCATAAAGCTGTCGAAAAACCTCTCTCTCGAAAACTTTACTTACAATGGGGAGTATAGAAATTGGCCTATAATTTTCACATTTCCGTCGATCTTCAGATTTGTAAATTGGAATGACCAGTGTCAAGTGATAAATTAAATATATATGTTAATGACGGAGCAATAATATCTGCAGAGAGTCTGAGAACATTGGCTGCAATTTTATCAAGGCCAGTAGATTTGTTTATCTTGAGGTTCATTAATGCCAGAAAAACGTTTTCTTCATCAATACGATGGAAATGGAATATCGTATCTGTTGTGGGATTGGAATTATTGTAGCTATTCGTAGTGTGTTGAGTAAGAGGCTCTTCACCAGCTTCAGGCTCTTCACTAGTTTCAGAAGCTAGGCTTGGGCCAATGTTAACAAAATATTCATTAAACTTTTCAGCGATTAATATAGAATCGGTAATGCTGTTGTCATTCACAGATATTTCTGTAATACTGGAAGATTTGTTATTCCTTCCAGTAAGGGAATTTATAAGGGACCAAATTTTTTTGAAATCATTTGAATATGTACAGTCCCCTATCTCTTTGTGATAAAAGTCAATTTTGCTTTTACGCATTTGCTTATTTACTCTGTTCCGTAAGGATTTGTATTTATCCCAGTGAATTGATGATTTAAATCTAATGGCTTTCTTTTTATGGTAATCTCTATTCCTCATTAGTTGTTTAATAGCAGGTGTAATCCATGGACGTGGAAGGAAGAATTTTTTAACAATAAGGTTTGTTGTCCACACCAACGTTGCACGAATAAAGCTGCCTTCTTTAACGAAGCAGGTTTAAAACAACATTTCTTCATTTTACAAGATTCCGCAGGCCCTCTCGAAATCGTGACCTTCCCATGACACAACGAGGGCCTGCGGAGGAGGCAGCTCCACACCACCCTTTTCTTCGGAAATCAATCAGAAAAAGCTCTATATAATTATTACACTTCAGATAAATTTTTAACTTTGAAGTTCGAATTTCATGTAAAATCCTCTGACAGCCCCCTTCCCCCTCAACTTCTGATGCTTTGCAACGTCCCTGAAGGTCAGTGTAATCAACATACAGCACTGAACCTTTCAGTTGTGAGGGTATATGAAAAAGGAAACCCACAGTCATTTTGCTGAGATCATGTCGACAAGTTTCAATCTTTCTTTTCATCATTAATAATAGCAGTATTAATTGATTGAGTAACATGTTCATACTTTTATAGTTAGAGTTAAGTGTTGTTTAAATTTATACATGCATCATTTACAATATTTCAGTGTTATGATCTTTCTTAAATATAATAACTAAGTGAACACACATTCTGGGCAATTTCATGATAATATGGTGACTGGTGATAATATTAGATAATATCGGAAGACCCGAATATATGCAAGTATCAAGGCAGTACATTAATACAATTACTATCAGACAAAGGTTTTAGTGGTGTTGGCATGACCGATTGGATGAGTTCATTACAAATTCCGATCTGTTATGTAGATCTTACAATAAATAAAAAATGTTTAAAAATCTAGTATTAAATATTATATTAACGAAGAATTTTAAATTTAAAGGTTCTATGCAATTTGCGCTGCCAGCAAATCAAGAAAAGCTAGTAACTTTTAAACCAGACACCAGAATATATTTGTAACAAGAAACCTATGCAAAGGAATCTTAATGAATTACTGCATTGTTTAGACATGCATTGACAATACCCCTTACTATATTTTTGTAGAGTGAAATTTTGAAAAACAATAAATTGTCATCATTAGTTCTGTATATGCTTATTATTAAACAAAATATTTAGTAATTAAAGTGTGACTCAATAATAGTGTTGGCTGCACTATTGCTATTGACAGTGCTTTTAAATTGAGTGATTGTTGTTGGCATTGTAAGAAAGATACCGCATCTGTTTTATTTTGACCATTATTGTATTGTAATTAATAATTTTGTATCACAATGAATGTTTGTGATGAATGTTTATGACAATGTGAAGTCCAGCTGCATTAAACAGGCTGAATAGACCAGCCACATGTACGCAGCGGGTATCTATTTTTTTTAAATGTGTTTTCAGAATGCAGGAAATGCTATTTCAGAGCCCCAGATTTTAAACATTTCCTTAGGGGCATGCCTCCAGACCACCCTACCTAACTCGTGCCTACTATCCTGGGGGAGGGCAAGGAAAATGGGCCCTTTGGCAGTTTTTCCCCACCACTGAAGAATCCTTAAAAAATGCACTGTATATATCACACAAAATACTTACTGCAACAAGCCTTATCATTCATCCCGCAATCATGAGTTTCAGTACAGTCGTAGTAGTGTTTTGGACAAGCATCCTTAGGATTACAACAAATGCAATCTATATCGCATTTTTCCCTTCCGGCGGCTAGAAATAAAATGTGTCGATACGTTAATGATCAAGAGAATATCCGAGAAGAAAGCCTTTTCAGAATTTCAGCTGCAGGGTATAGTTCTATTGAAGGTTAGAAATACTATTTTGAAAATCGAAGAAAGCACGCATGTAAACCGATAGCTAAATTATACTTTATGAAAAACTTTGAAAAACAAAGTAAAAGAGCGTCATATAGTAAAGTTGACCACACTGAAGAGAAGGAACACAATGAGATACCAGTCTGGACAATAAAGCCCAAGCTCTAGAAACGCTTCAGTATAATTTTTCCAAAATCTGTGTTTGTCAACAATTTTCTTATTCTCGTATGTTGAAATATACATAATGTTGAAAGTTTGTTCTTTGATAGAATGATCTGTTTTCTCTTTTATAATTAATTGTGTAATCTCTCTCATTAGCTAATCGCCTTATAAGATAATTGCTGCCGCAGGCAGTACTCCTAATTGTGACATGCCAAGGTTTCTTCAGAGTTCACTCGACCCAGTCTTTCGCGCCGATCTATGTATTATCGAGATTTCGATCTTGCATCTGTCAATATTTAGGATGTCAAAAATCATAATTCGGGGTTGGCCAGGGGGACGGCCGCGGGGAATGCGAGAAAAATATTGAATTGAATCGACGATGTTACATAATTTGCAAGCTTTTTATTCTGGATCTGACAATTCTGACTTGATGAAAAATGTACCAACACTTTCCCTAAGAAACCACGTAAATTTGGCTTTATTTCTTTCTCCTGATATCCATCAAGGCGATGAAGTGTTTAGCGTTCATTATGCAGACAAGCATGCAATGTGCTTTTAATATGAGTTTATCAGCGCTTCTTACAGCACGAAATATCCCATTTTATTACATTGTCAGCATTGTCGTTTACAACATTTAATAATGTCTTAGGATAACACAAGGAGACAAGATGTATTTAAGAGCTTTGAACAATGGCCTATTATAGTCCTGGACCCGTGTAGAATTTTTGAAATATATACAATACTAGACTCTGATGTAGAATTATTAAAATTATGTAAACAATCTTCCCGTGGAGGGAGCTCAAAATATAAACATCTACCCGTGGAGGTAGCTCAAAATATTAACAATCTACCCGTGGAGGAAACACAAAATATAAATATCTATAAATACAAAAATAAATATCTACCCATTGTGATGGAGCCCATTGAGGCACAAAATGACATTAATCTACTCATTGTGTTAGAAGAACAAATTGGCAAATTGGCAAATTTGGTTTAAAACTCCGATCAGTTATGTAAAGGAGCTTCAAGAAATCCGGAAATTGAGACTCCTTACTATGATATTCATACAGTACTTTTGAATAATTTCTTGAATGACACTCTATATATTTTACATGCTATTTTAATTTGTTACAGGCTATATATGATGGCTTTAAAAAAGGAAATGAATGAGTTCTTTCCCTTTGACTCGCATGCAGCTAGGGACGTAGCGAAGCATTGAAGTTGTGGGAGGGGGCGGATGTCGAAGGATTTTACCTGAAATTTTAATTTTAATGTTAAAAATTTACCTGAAGTTTAATAATTGTACAGTAATAAAGTTTTTTTGTGATTGATTTGCACTGTCATACTAAGGTTTTCCATTTTTGAAGCTTTAGGACTACATTTCTGGCGTTTTCTAAAACAAATTCGCGAACAAATTGGATCGTAAATTGACTGTATTTTACAAAAATGGTTATTATTTCACACAAATAATTACTTCATTAAAATGTCAAAATTTTAACAGTTTGGGGGATTTTACACCCCCTCCCCCTCACCGCCCAGATCGCTACGTCCCTGTTCGCATGCCCGAGACTCTAGTGGAATGTCTGCATGATTCTAATGGCCCTGCCGCTGCTGTCATTAAGTTTATTAATATTCTAGAGTTGGAGCAATATTTGTATTCTCTGTCAATAGAACTGCATGCATGCCAACTCTTTTAGTGAAATTGTATCGGTGTAGTTGAATCAATATATAGCTTCCAAAAGCAAAACTAAAGGTGAAAATAATAGAGAATATCAGAAAATGAGGCGTTGAGTAGAAAAAGCAAGTCATAAACAAGCCAGGCTTAAAAAAGCTAATGATTATAAAAAGAAAATGCAGTCAGACTCGAAACTGACAGTGAAACACAAAGCAGACTCCTAACAGTGAGGGAGTCTAAAACAGAAAAAATCGTACGAAACTGACAATGAAACAAAATAAGACTTTAAAAACAGAGTGAGCCTATGAAAAGAAGGCAGTGAGAACAAAATAGACTACAAAAAGAAAATGAGTCCAAAAAAGGAAAGCTGCTGTCAATTTGTTTTTCGAAAGAATCACTCAACTTCATTAGCGTTAACTCATTTGGCTAACAAAATCACATCAGGTATTGATCGTAAAGAGGTTACTGCCTGTGTATTCTTAGATCTTCCAACTGCTTTTGACACTCTTAACCATGAGATTTTATTTGCTAAATTACAACACTATGGCATCAATGGTTTAGTTTTGAAGTTGATAAAAAGCTACTTACTTGGCCGTAAACAATTTGTTCAGTTTAAAGAATCGCGTTCCTCAGAACAAAACATAGTATGTGGTATTCCTCTGGGATCTATATTAGGTCCGTTGCTTTTTATTTTATATATGAATGATATTTCAAATGCTTCTACACTGACAGAGTCGTTGATTTTTGCAGATGACACTAGCATAGTTTACTCGCATTCTGATCCAAACTACTTGGAGCTAGTCTGTAATGAATGAGGAATTGCAGATGTTTGATGTTTGGATAAAAGTAATAAACTTTCAGTTAACGAAAAAATCTAATTATGTTATTTTCAAATCGAGTAAGATAAAAATTGCAGACAATTTCCTTTCTTGTTATGGCAACGATGTTTTTATATGTATACATTGATCGACATGCACCTTACTTGGAAAGATCATATAAGTCACATTTGCAAAAAAAATTGTATGTCAGTTCGCATAATATATAGGATTTGTTTCTATTTATCAACTAAAACTAAATTATCTCTATATTATACATTGATTTATCCATACATCACTTATTCTAATATTACTTGGTCATCTACATATGTAACTAATGTAAATAGTATCTTAATTTTACTTACAAAACGATTCTAGTTTTTGTGCCCACTCTACCCCTTTATTCTCACAATTAGGTATACTAGACATACTCAAAGTTAACTCACTTCATGTAACACGATTTATGTTCTGCTACCATAATCAATTATTACCACCTATATTTCATGACTTATTCACTCGCAATAATCAAATACAAATAATGACAACACTATAG